GGATCTCCTGACGGCCAGCTCGCCCCGGCGGAGGGAGGGAGGGAGATGCAGCGCGAGGGGAGCGCCCAGACCGCCACTTCTGCCTGAGGAAGCGCTAAGGTAAGCCCGCCGCTGCCCCCAGAGCCCTCAGCCTGCCCCGCGGGCCGGGGGCTGCCTCGCCCCCTTCTCCTTGAGCGAGCAAGACCTAAAAATACCCCGTTCCCTGTTTTTTCCTGAGGAAAACTTCGTAGGGATGAGCATAAAGCATCGCGCTGGGCGCCAGCGGGAGCGTTATGCAATGGTGTATCTGCCTGCCTGGGAACAGCTATTGCATTCAATAACTTTCATGACAGATAAAAGGAGAGGATATCACTGTACACCTCCAAACCCGCTACTTTCTTCTAGAAAGATACCAGCGTTTCTTTCTGAGGCTACCTGGTAGGGGAGAGGTGTAGCTGGAGGATTTGTGGAAGATGCACAAAGTGCTTTAGTTTTCCTGCTGATCGATGGCTGGGAAGTACCCGCTGCTTATTAACTTCAGCGCTGGGAAGTCCAAACGCAGCCCTAATGAGGTGTCCGTGCGACGCGGCCCTGGAGGAACATCGGACATGTTCATCCGGTAACTTGCAGTATAGCACTTCATTAAAACCCAAAAATCCTCACCAGGGGCTGAAGCTGCTGCTGTGCTGGGAACCGTTATTATCGATGCTAGCAGTGGTTCTCCCGATTTAATACACCACTCTGCCCTCCCGGTCCCCTCTCACCATCGTCAAGCACGGTTAAATTGGAGATGCCGTCAAAATGCAGTAGGCGAATGGGACAGCAGGTAGCGAGGATCCAGCACCAAAGTCACAGTCCTGGACCTTGCATCTTGCACGGCATCCAAAGCTTCCCGCTTTGCCTTTCCATCTTGCCTTCCTACTGCTAGTAAAAACCCTCTCCTGTGACCTCAACGTCCCCACTTACTGCCGCGTTTACCCCAGAGTTACAGCAGCGAGGGGGATGCAGGACTGCAGTTAGCTGGGATCTGTTCGTGGGAGGTGGGGGGGCAGCCAGCCCTAGCAAAAAAGAGGGACATCTTGTCATGTTGAAAGCAAAGAAGATGTGCTCTGCTTATGTCACCATCTCCCGAGGGCTCTGTCCCACAGGAACTGTGCCCCCCTGGCTGCCACGACTCACAATAGGTAACGGAGCAGTTGCGTTTGACCTTGTACGTCTAAGCAGCTAAAATCCCTCCCGAACATCACGGTAGAAAATTTAACTCATTAGGCTCTACAGTCGGGAAGTTTGGGAAGACCTGTTTTTCCAGCTTCCGGGAATCATCATTTTTCTGCTGAATGCTGGAAAGCAGTAACAAAAGACAAAACAGTAACAGGTCATGTCTAACAAACTGGGAATTTATTCCCTCTGCTTAAGCGTTTCATCGTGGTTACTATTCGTATTTACAGTGTCGTCAGGAATGCTGCATGTATCAAGGTTAAAAATCTAGCTGCTAGATGAAAAACTAGTTAAAAAGAGAAGAAATTAAAAATAAAAAATAAAAATCACATCATGTGTAACTGTCCTAGCCATGCACTTAGAATAATTTAATGTAAGATTTGAAGCAAACATACCTATAGTAAAAATATGTAAAGCATGGAGAGTAACGTATTTCCTTACTTGTGGTGTGAAGCCTCTTGGTGCTCTACCAGCCTGCTCCTGCCTGCCTTTCTTTACTACAATAATACTGTTCTCTTCAAGTACAAACAACAGTTCTAAGTTAAAAGCTGGATTTCTTTCCTAGCTTTATGAATGCATATGAGCAGCTCAGCTGAAAATATCTCAGTGCTCAGATATTGCTCATTTATCATCTGGGGGGGGTATATATTATTCTATACAGTAATGGCATATAGTCATTGATTTCAACGGAAATACATAACGTATATTGCTAATCCAAATACTCATACTGAGCAGTTGTAAAATAAAATTACTGCCTCAGAGTTTAAGGTGCTGTTGCGTTTAAAGCATACTGCCTTCACAGAATGAGCTCACTGGGGAAGGCTGATACTAAATAAGCTTTTTTTTTTTTTTTATGTTTGCTAAGGACGTCATGATGTCCTTGATGAAAAATATGTGTTCTTTAGGACTCCGTAATTATTAACGATGTGTATTTTTAACAAGAAGCTCAAAATAATTCTAATCTTGACTGAAATCAGTGCCTTTCCCCCAGACTGACACTTAAAAAAACAGCTGGGTAACAGCACTACAAAACAAAGTATTAGTTACTTATCAAGAGGGACAGCACTTAACATTCAATGCACCCTTCTGCTAATTAAGCTCACAAACAAGTAGCTTCTAAGAGCATCGCTGCATTTTTTTTCCCCCCCAGTTAACTATTTCACTGACAGAAGCGTTTTTGCATGAAAGATGCACAGCCTATATAATTAAGCAGGAGGGAAGAAAAAAAGAAAAAAAGAGTAGCTAAGTTCAGTGGAGGTTAACATAGAAGGAAAAGATGGCTAAGAAGCCCAAGTGCCAACCGACAGAATGTGCGTCGTCTTCCTGACATGCACTACCGGGGACCGAACACTACTGGTCACCACAACCCACCGTTCCGTTACTTGGAAATCCAAACTCAACAACAGATTGTACAAATGACAACGAGATATTAACACTGCTGGTTTGTTTATCCTGTTCTGGAGAATTTAAAAGCAAACTTAGAAATATCAGTCCTTTGCAGTGACCGATGTGGTAGTGAAAGCCAGGGAAACCTATCAGTTTGCCAAAAAAAAAAAAAAAAAAAAAAAAGTGCTAAAATGTAAGGATCCCTCCAAAAAGCTACAGAGCTGTTACATGTCAAGGCAGTCCCCTACCCAACCACAGTCATCTCGGACAGGGAGAACTGAGGATGTGTAGTCACATAATTCATGCATACTTGAGGAAATTACAGTAAATCTAGAATATTTGAGAACATTAAAAATTCACATGCTTAAGCTAGCTAGTATAAAGGTCTTATATTCTGCTTTGACAGCCACTGTTTATAAAGAACTGCTGAAAATTTGTGCAAGATCCTAAAAAACATGTAAGCAACAGATCTGGTTTATAGCCCAATACTCCCTTATATTATTAATCAGTTTGAAAATTGAATAGGCTTTAAGGAAATGAGATCACAAGCATATTTTAAGGGGAAAAAAAAAATAAATCTCAAGAGTGGGGAAGTCAAGGGAAGTCCCATATTTAGCCACCTGAAGATCAGCGCTTGATTTTATTCTGCTTAGGAAATACTGTATAACCTATGGCCAGACACAGGTATGACTCTCTAGGTACTGACATTCAGTTTTAAATTATTATTATTGACCACACAACGTGATCAGAGCATTCTCTTATTTTAGTGGCACAGCCTTACTTTGACATCTATTTAATACAATTTTACTACATTCAGGCAGAAAACAGCCTCTCTGCTGACCCTTTAATACTCTCAGAAATATTTCGACTTGTTTATACATTTGCACAGCACAGCATCATGGTGATCTCTGCCTTAAAATTCACCTGCTTTTCAGTTCTACATGTAAGCCCAAGTTTTACAGGCAAAGATAATTAGTTGTAAAAATAGCAATTCAGTGATCAAACAGCAACTCTTGGTGTTCCTCCTCTTTGCCTGTTTTTTTTCCCTTCAATGGCAGAAAGACACCAGGCCTAAATTCACTCCAGTAATAGTTTTTCCAGCCAAATCCACTGATTTCAGTAGAGGAGTGTAGAAGAGTAAGGGCCATTTTCACAGTCTGAATTAAACAGAGAGGGATTTAAAAGCCTTGGGACTGAAGGCCTCTATGTCCTTTGATATTTGGGTGCAGATCTGAACTTCTTATATCTATTGTTACGAGAGATTTTTGTGGGAAAGTGCTGGAGCTCTACCACCTGTCAGGTTCCCCAGTCTCTGCACATTGCAGCTCATCTGGTCTCAGACTAAGCCCATATGAAAAACCTGTGCTTAAATATGTCACAAAAGCTATGTTGTTACGACCAAGTCTATCTGCGGCTGCAGCAACTAAAAAAAACCACCAGACTGGAGTAGTCATTTGTAACCACTAAAATACTTGCCCAAAATGTGCTCGCGTACATGTTACAAATTCAACTGTATGGCTAAGTGCAGCCAAATTACATGGAAATTTCTAATATTTTAAATGAGACCTTAGTATTAATTTTCAGTGCAAGAAACTCCAACTAGTAAAATAATATTATTTGAATACTAAGCAGCAAAACAAACCAAAGTATTGACCCGTAGTCCAGTACTTACTGATCTGGAGAGCAGACCGGAGTAATGGGCCAGCGACACAAGAAGGGACATTTCACTAGAGGACTACAACAGTCTAAATTCTTCACTGCGCTGGCTTTTCCTGCAGGAATGCTACCAGCTTGGTTTGGAATCCTCGTCTAACAGCAGAGTTGCATTAAACAGGCTAAAAATGCAGTTATGCTGTGGACCAAAGAACATGTAAGCATGTGACTTTTGTACCTGGTTTTACAAGATCTGCAGAAGCAGCATATGGCCTGGCATGCTGACTGGCTTAACGGAAAATCAGCCTTGTGGAAGCCCTCTGCAAACTTTTTTTTTTTCCTATAGGTGCTGTCTGCCTCAGCTGTACAGCCCTTTTTCAGCATCAGCTTTGTGTGCTGAAGAATACTTTCTCCCGTATTGATTTCTACTTGGACATCCTGCTCCTTTGGATGCAAAGCTGAAGTCTTTTGCCCATCTCCAGAGAGACCATTAACTTTTTTTTTTTTTCCTGCAGTCTGCACCATCGAAAGATTTTTTTTCCTCTATCTGTATTTGCTTTTACTTCCATTTTATACCTGGTACAGGAATTCCTTATTATTTGGGCTGAAATAATACTGGCAATCTCCCAACCTTAACTCATGTTTATGACATCCACAGGGAAGAGAAGCAAGTGGTTTGTGTTATTTTTGCCTGTCCGTGATTGCTAGAGCATGCCTGTAAATAAAGCCCACATAGTTACAAAATTAAACCATTTTAAAAACAAAAGCAAAAGGAAGATCATTCCATATGGTCTAAGTGAGGAGGAAGTGTCACAAGCTAACAAAGAAGGATTTACGTGTTTTGTGCTCTTCCCCACCTTCCC